TTTTTTTTTTCACTGCAGAAACACAGATACCTACTGGAGTGAGTATTGTATTGAAAGTTACCTTGAACTGGATGAGGAGACAATATGTGTTTGGTAACAGCTAAGAACTGCTTTTTAGTACTAGCGCGTTTGATTACGTTTTTTTTTTTCAACTTATCTTACGTTCCGCTTATCATTTGAATTTCAAAACTTACTTAAGAATATGAAAATGAGCTTTAGTTACATAATTCTTCTAGTCTTCGTAGTCCTCCGCTCGTTCTCCCGTAGCAAATGAGGTTTTTCTAAACCGCACTCAATACAGCCAGTTAAGGTTATCTATGATAAATCCAGTTGCCTTAACGTCTTTAAGAACACTTCATATAAGATGAAAAAGATTTCAGAGACATTAATCAGATTTAGAGCCTGCTGTCGGCTTAGAAAAAAAACTTCAAGCTTGATTTGAAAACCACAGCAGTATAGTTAACGTCGACAAAGAAGCTGGCAAATAGGCAACTTTTTTAATTGCATTCGTAATAGGAACATAAGAGCATACTTTAAGCACCGTAAAATTAAATAAAGTCGAAAAATCCAAATGAAATGGCATCAAGGTGACTTTCGTCACAGCAATTAAGCTGTTTAATTTCGCTCGATGGACACAGCGCAAAGACTCTGTAGAATATTTACTGAGATAGGTTCACCTTAGTGAAAGTGGAAGAAGGTTCACATCTTATGACTGCTTGCCACAGAATTTCATGTTGCCATCCAATCATTTGCTAAGACTTTCTGCGCCTTAGTCCCACGCGCATTTGGTACAGAAGGATTGCACTTGCAGCAGAAACGTTCAGGGAGTTAAGGGTTTGGGAGTAATTACTACCCAATTTTGGAATAAAAACTATATAGTTGCAGAATTTTAAAACTTCTTCGCTTATCCCGGTATGCTCGTTTCCTGAAACAAAAAAAGCTGTCTCTACGGTATGCTTGGAAAGTAAGGAATTAATCGTTTGACATTCATAACTGTTTACCTAGAACAAGTATAAATTTTTGATTTTGGTCTAAGGTATCCAAATTTTCAAGTGACTTCGCACATTTCACGTTACGCTCCGCAGCTGAAGCTTCATCGGACGCACCGATAATAACAAAACCCAGATTTTTTGCATTCTAGAAAAATGCATTTTTGACTCACCATCTACATTGAAGCCACTTAAAGCTGCATAAATTTTCAGCATAAGGATAATGTGTCAGATGAATAAATTAAGTAAGATCGACTCCCACTTCAAGTAAAGTTGTTGCATCAGAAACTTTGTATAAAGGAAAGCACTCTATTGCTCCAGAACTTGACCTGCTCATCGCTGGTGTAATCGTCTTTGGTCTGAAATTTTTATTCTAACAATAATGACAAATGGTAATATCGAAAGGAACTGATGCTACCAAAAAAACAAATTGTATAGGGGTTCAAGAACAAAAAAGTTTCACTCGCCTAAAGGCAGGAAGAAGAAATGTCTTACCCAGCATTCTCAGACATCACAATTCCGTCGAGATTAAAAAAGACACAAGTGCGAGCTATAGCAGCAATGTTAGAGGTATCCTAAAAGCTAGCAGTATCTAATTAATATTCAAAATAAGGCTTAAAGAAAATTTATTTACGTCAGACGTCTGTTGTGTTATTTTCAACATTTGAAGTATTTTGCTAATAATTTTGCAAGAAAAGATGGAACTCGATTAAAGCTTAGCTTGAAATGAATGTGCACGCATCTGAATGATCATCTTCAAAGGCGTAAATAGATAAGTGGTCAAAAGAAAAAAATGTTTACTTCGTGCTTGTCATTGAAGTGTATTTCTGCTTCTTCCTCAAAGCGTTATATAATGCTTCAAATTTAAGTTTACAGTAATATGACATTTTAATAATTAGTCTGTTTGCTTTAACTAATGGTAAAACAACTGATTGTCGTTTCAGAAAATTAGTCGTCTGCAATGTTTAGAAAAGTATGCAGTAGCTTTTCTTTAACTGGCATTTATGAATTCCACCTGAGCAAGCCCATGAAGAAAGCTGAGTTGAGCGCTTTAAAAATGGCATACTCATGAAATAGCGTAATTTGAACTAGTTACTGAGAGCTTGTTAACAGTTTTGCGAGAAAAAGTAAGAATGATGGAAAAATCCGTACCAAAACGTTGTCAAGAAACAGCAGTGACTTTGAGGAAACTAGGTCCCTTTGGTCCAGTTTCTCAAACTGTAATGGAGTAGCATCAATGCAAATGCCCTAAATATATCAATTATTTTTCTTGAAGAGCCTCTAAACCCAGCAAAATAGAAGTAAACGAAAATCTTTTAATTATTCTTTTTTAAAAGTAACTAAACTATTTTTTTCTAGGTCTCGGCGCCCCCTATTTGTTTGAGGAGCGAAATTAGACATACGTTATGAAGTTGGTATCCGCAGAGGGCGTCTAACTGATCAGTGCTGAGCTCTTTAATCCTAATGTCTTTTGACTCGGCAACCGACAAGATTTCTTCCAGCAGCTTCTTTCTGACATCTTCCCTTCTTCCAAGTAAAAAGTTTCTTTTGAAATAAAGTTTGTAAACCTGACGACGATCTGCGTTCAGGGCTTCACGAACTGAATTTGTCCCATATATTATTTGGCCTTTAACTACAGGTAGCCAGCGACGCTTCTGCCTATCATTAAAGCATTTTGCATTGATTAGCCTTAGTAATCTACCAAAACAATTCCAAAAAAAGGGAAGATTCCAATACAACTCGGAAGCGTTTAATCCTCTAGCCAAAAAAACTGTGGTTTTTGATGAAAGAAGCTATGGAAAATAAATCCTGACCACTAACATAACAGCCAAACAGAACCTACAATTTGTAAGCTTTCACTGTGATGTTTTCAGAATGAGCCTTCGGAACTGATGAATCATACAACGGTCGATCCAAAGCCACGTCATTTCTCAGCTCTCCCTTTCGGATTTTCAGCTTTAATATTGGAAGAACTTAGACTAAGTTTAACAGTAAAGGGAATGGGGTAATAAATGAAAAAGCTATCACGGGTTCTTAAAAAAGCTGTTTATTTACCCGCTCTTCCGCTTTTATTAAATCTGCAAGATTCCTTTGAACAAATAGAACAACAGTTCCTACACGCCGATAAGGACCTGTCAATGGCATTACCTGAAGTGTCTCAAAAAAGGTGAAGAAGCGTATATGCCGAACAAGACGTTTTAGTAATGCATTTCAGCTTCAGAACCAAAAGTAATTATTCAAAAGAGCTAGGGTTACGAAGAACCTTCGACCAACCTTCATAAACAATCTCGACTGTAACAATTTACAAAGTGACGAACAGTTCATTATATTCTCGCTCGAAGCGCAGTACAAATCAAATTTTAACCAAAGAGGTTTATTAAAGGAGAGGTAGGGTTTAAGCACGGCTTTTTCCTATTGCAAGGAAAGCCACCAAAAAAAGGCTTGAAGTGAAGCGAAACTAGTTCAAAAGTTTTGACTAGACCTAAAAAATCCCTACAGCTTCAACTGGACTATTTCAGATTTCACGGCGAATGCTAAAAATGAAGGGAATTCTAAGTCACACTACTGGTACCAAAAAAAAGCTCAATCGTTCAACCGAACTGTTTAGAAATGCAAGCTAAGAAAAAGTTGCGTTGCTTACAAAGCATTATTTGTTACAGAGCTATGTTACAGAGGGCTTCAATATTAAAATTACCATTGGTAATAGTAGCAGAATTAAAAACCTATCCTTGAACAAAACAGTCATGAAAAGTCAATTAAGTGACCAAATACTCCACGTAATGAGAAAAACAAATTGGACAATATCAAGTCTTTTAAAGCATATATTAAATTTGATAACACGAAAGTATTTCGTTTTTAGCTTAGACCCTTTATTCGTACCAAATTTATTAATTATAATCCATTTTCTCCCACTAAACTCCGTAACTTGCAAATCGACGTTGTTAATCTGAGCAAAGCATCAACGACGAACTTCTCGCAATAGATCACCGTGTTTTATAACATTTATTTTTGAAAATGCATCTGAAAAGAAAACAGCAACAGCATGCAACTAAATATTTCTATGGAATAAAGTAATTTTTGTATCTCGAAAATGAAACCTGCTACTTAATTTTTCAGTCCTATGCGGATAAGAGATCTGCTGCGCTGCTTCAAAATACAGAATTTATCAAGGACCGTTGTGGTAGCATTTCAGAAACTATTTTGAAGAATCCAGTTGCTATTCCAATATTTACAAATCCTGTTTCGCTCTCTGTAAAAAATTTTAGATATTTAGTAAAGACGATCAAAATCCACGAAACAACTGTTAATGAATAGTAAAAATAGGCACTAAATATTTTTGTATAATTAGCCTCAATATTGAATTTTAAAAAACAATCACCTTCAAGAAATCAACTCACAATTTACGTGCGTGATAGCAGATTTTTTTTTATTGGAAAATAAGTGCGGTTTTTAAAGTAAACAAAATGTAATTTTTTTGCTTCAAATAATTTTGAAATATCACTTTGCGGATACAGCGAAGTCCTCTCAACCATTTCTGCACATCCATTATTCATTTCTACCATTTCTGCCCTAAAGGCAACCTAATTGGCGGTGTTTTTAAATGGTCAAAAACAATCTGTCAACGTCAGCATTATTCTACAACTAAGCAGAGTAAGCAAAACTGTAAAATTAACCTGAAATTGCCGCAGAGCACTATGTCCTCGAGTTTATAAAAGTGAAGTAGGAAAGATAACATCCAGATGATGAGAGTTCTACAAAGGACCACAATTATTTGTTTACAAAAATAAATTCCAAAATAAAGAAAAAGGAATTTGAGAAGTTTCAAAAGTTGATCAGTTTCTCTATCGAAAGTGTAAAATCTTATGTAAAGCAACCATTTCTGCAGGAAAAAGAAAAGAAAGAGAGTAATTACAGCAACTGAGCTACAATATAATCACGGACGAAAAGTGTCACCGTTACAAAGTTTAGACTTCTATATTGAAAGATGTGACATTTGATAGCCGAAATGTTGATAAAAATACTGTAAACACTAACACTAGGTAGTGGCCGAATTGAGCAAAATTCGCTTTCTAATCGCGCTTTTTAATCATGTAATTAGAAGTTACTTTTATAAACGAAAGACGTATAACTTACAAAGAAGGCAAAATTTTAGGCTCCACTAAGAGTAAATAAGGAAATAAATCTAGTTCTAAAACCACTAAGGATAAAATGCACTAAAAAAGCCCTGCAACATGCTTGTAATGTCAAGTGATTCTTATTGAAACTAAAAATTTAATTTAAATGACGAGTATTTATCTCAACTCTACTGTAAAAGTCATCTCATTTAGTAATTCCAGCTTAAAAAAATTTAAAACCTTCATTAGACCTCTTTTACCAAACAAAAATCTGAAAAACATGCCCCCAGCGTTTTGCTTTGACGACTTTGGAGACGTAAAAGACCATACGTTAGGAAACCATTAGGCGATATAAACTTCCTTCTCGTACACCTGGAAAGTGGCGCTTATACATTACTCCCAGAATACTACTTTTTTGTACACTGCAAAAGGCATGAGGAGTCCTTTACTCACTATAAAAAAGCTAAAGATCAAAATAAAAGCAAAACCGCACAACAATATTAATCTAATGAAAATGACAAAAGAATTATCCAGACCAATATTAGACACTGAAAGGGGTTTTATTTACAATCATAAGAGACTATTACTTTTCTTCAAATAAACATCATAAAGAACCTAAAAACCTGTAGCGGTGGAAGTGAGATATTACCATTACTTTCTTCACTCATGCTGGAATATCTTCTTCGTGCTTTCATCCTCCAAGTATCAATATTGCAGTAACAAAACTGCATCATTTTAGTTTGGTGACAGTTCTCAAAATCGTTTGTAAGCGTCTAAAAGACTCTAGTAAGAAAATAATACCAAGGTGAATTCACCTCGAAAACAACCATGTGACCACCTCTTACTAAAATCTTCTTAATCTATTCTTATGTTTCACTAAGATCAATTTGTTGTTAACAAAGACGCCAACTTTCTCGCTAAATTCTGTCTGGGCTTCAAAGCATATTTTCAACACACACGAAATATACAAATAGAAAAAACACCAGTGAGGAAGTAGATTTTACTGGCAAGTACAAATTTCTTAAACTGCTATTAGTGAACTTACCCACTGGAACTTGCTATGGAACTGACGGTAATTTTATAAAACTCATTAACGCAGATTTACTGCTGCAACTAGATGGAAAATCTTGCCCGATACTTCTGAGTGGTATTTCGAAAGTAAAACATTTACCGACTTCACTAAGGCCGTAAGAACAATCTATTTGTGTCTTGATAAATTTTTTAAGTGTAACCGATTTAACGAGGTTTTTATCCAAAAAAAGGCAAACAAATAAGTAAATAAAGTTTTCTTGATCTTGATAAATAATAAAAATGAAAGCAGATCTGATGCCATAAAATCAACCTTACAGATAAAAAAAAAGATGAGTTTTATAATATCTATAAGGTACAAAGGAATTTACCGCACTTTTCTTGAAATAGTTAGTACAGAACTGCCGAGGAACCTTCCTTTATGTGTTCAAAACTCGGCTGTCAAGTGAATTTCAAACATCTCAACTCTTTTACCGTTAAGCGAACATTTTGAACTAAAAAAGCAAAAGTTTGCAAAGGAATTTATAACAAGCAAGTTTTCTAAAAAACCAAAGAACGCTTACCCATAGCAAACAAACAAAGTCTATTATACTCAACTCTACACAAAAATTTGAAAATTAAAATAAAATGTTTTTAACAGAAAGGCTATTTGGTGTACAGTTATAACTAACCCACTAAATCCTCCCTTAATCAAAACATACCAGTATAACATTTTAAAAAGAAAAAAGGTCTTCTGAACTTCTGTTCAAAAATGAAGGAAACTGTTAAAGATTTTTACAATTTTTGAAGTGCTAAAGAGTACATCCAACCAAAATCCACATTGTACCCAAAACTTAAACTGCTGCCAAAATACAAATAAATTTCAGAGGAAAAAGCTGGAAGAGAGTGAGGTGGTAAACTTCAGCAACAAAAATAATTATAATTTTACACCAAAAAAAAAACCAAAAAAGCAAAAAATGAGTTGATGAAGTATATTCATCAAAGTAATTATCATTAATTGCTAGTAAATTATATGTAATAATTGAAGTGCTTTGATAAGGAGATAATAACGCTCGTCCTTACCGTTCAGTGCTGTTTACTGTATTATGATATTGCTGCGTTTATAGCAAAACAAGTTTCGTTCCAGTAATGCTAAAATAACAGGTCATAACAACTGTAAACTCAAAAAATAACAACTGAAAGCATCTCTTAGCTATAACATCAGCAGTAATTATTCCTCGCTGCTAATCAAAGAAGCCGCAAAAAATGCTCATCAACGGTGAAAAAGTTGAAGCTGTAGTAGATACGTGACTGAAAATTTAAAGCTTACCCCATATATTTCATTTTATTATTAAATGAGCAATGCAGTTTCCAAAACTAAATAGCACAGAACTAAGAACTCCCAATCTATTGCAAAGAACATTGTATTTGTAGAAGTAACCCATACATAGGGCTTCCTGGTCAAAGAGCTTGAAAATCTAGATCACCAAATAGCCTACTGACTCGACATGCATTTATATAAAATAGTGAGTATTTTTCTGCTACTCTGCTCAACCCACCGTAATAAAAAGTTTAGAGAGATAAGCGTAACTAAAGTTAATTTTACTTCAAAAATACTATGCAAACAAAACAGCTCAAAAGTCCCACAACCAGCTGCTAATGTCAATAATTCCTCGAAAAAATGGCACAACTTTTGACTTCTTCAATCGCTTTAAAATCTACAGCTTCCCGGTCAATACCCCTGTACCACCAAAACTACTGTAACCTACAGCAGATTCTCAGAAAAACACAACCACTCAGCAACATCTGGACACTTCTCCGCTCAGCAATTCAGAAGGCAAAACCCGTAAAAAATTCGTCATCAAGAAAACCGCTTCTCAAAAAGCTCATGATCCCTGTATAAAAAACAAGAACCTTAACTCTCTTTTTCAGGTATAATACTTTGTCAGCGTTGCAGACATTTTAGTTATATTTGATTGCCGCTGTTTAAAAATACAAAAAAACTTTTTTAATTTATCGAACAGACAACACCAAATTTAAAATTCGATTAAAATCCAATCAAAAGTCAAAAGAAATTAATACCTTGCATAAAACCATTAGACAGACTGCAGAGAGATTTCAGAAATACTTTTGCATTATGAAATATTCTCTACCTTGTGCTCATGCAAAACAGAGAACACCCACAATAGCCCTCTTCTTTTCATAACAAATAAGTCAAAAAAAAAAAAATTAATTAAGACGAGTACAAAGTATAAAGCAACAACCAAAACTCGCAACGTAAACTAACCGAAGGGAGCTTCTTTTACATATTGGCAATAGAACCCAAGCAAAAAATAAATCAAAAATCGATTGTATATACTAATACAATTTCAACCCTATTTTAAACTCTTGATTAATAAATTATACAAATAAAGAGTCACTTGGTACGGTGGATATTAAGAAACCTAATCCTCTAGTTTCACCAGATACATACAAATTCCTTCAATACCTCAAGGCAACTTTTCCAAACAAAAAAAGGCATAAGACAGCAATAGTCCAAAAAATATTAACAAATTTGTTTCTGAAAAGCTTCAGAGCTAGGAGCTAGCTCTAACTTTAAATTCCAGCAAAAAATGAAAAATTCAGAATGAAGGAACCATGCGCAACATTTTTAAAACACGTTGAGCACAAATATGGGAATTTTTTGACTCCGATATCTTAAGAAAAGGCTCAATATCCTAAAATTAATGGGAATGAAATAAAAAACCACTCAACTACAAAACCATCTTTAAATAATACACACTGGTAGAAATTCCAAACTCTAATCGTATAGTGAAAGCAAACTGAAATTTTGACTAGGGATTAACAAAATGAAGTAGGAATAAAAGTCTCAAGTACTTTAAAACGAAGTAATGTTCAAAGCAGAAAAATTTCGCAGAAAAATTATGCAATTCATCACAGTACAGAAATAAATAAAGCCACACTGACGTTAAGCTGAAAAAATATTGCCTCTAACCTAAAAGCCACAAAAATCATACTTGACTTTTCAGCATGAGTTACGGAAAATAACTGTATCTGTTGGCTTTTTGCACCTAGTAACACACTTCTTTAAACAGATTTAATTGAATACTACAAAAAAGTTTGGTTCCATACTTGACAATGACACTTTATCATTCATAATAATCAGTACAACAAAGAAACTTTCTCATCAGGATAATTACGAATACATTCTATTGCGCTTACACATACTTAATATTTCAATGCTACCTTTAATTGCCTTCTGCAATAAGATAATTCTTTCAAGATCTTCTGTTTCTTTGAGTGCAGCAACGCACCAATGCAATTTTTCGCTTACTACCTTCGTGGCTTCGTCAAACCCATCGAAAAAAGTAGATACAGTCAAAAATTTCTAAAAAAAATCTGCTATTTGAAAAAGACCTTTAGATAAACAGTTAAATTCTTTTTGTGAGAAAAATGTAACTTTTTTAGAAAGAATGACGGAGAGATTAAGACTCAAAAAACTACAAAAATTTATGAAATAACTCCGTACTTTTGATTTCTTTTTGGAACCTACAGATCCCGATGCTTTTGTCAGCTGCACATCGTTTTTCTCAGCTCTGGAGTGACCATTTTCTAAGTGTTCCAAATCCTAAAGTTTCTACGACAGAATTACTCAGCCAGCAAAGACCACCGGCAATGAAAGACGCTTCTTTAGCTACCTGTGGCTCAACAACTACTGTTAAATTACCGTTTGCGGTTACTACGAAAAATTCTGAAAACAACTGAAACAACTTGCCTTTAAAGATTTGGGTTTTACACATTCAATGCTCTGCAATACCAGATTACGTCCAACCGCTGAATTAGAGGCTTCAGGTTTTAGTTCATCAACTGGTTCTGTTGGCGTCAGTGTTTCATCAATATCATCAGAGTCATCTGCAAAAGGGTAACAATAAAAATTGTTTTATGGCTCTCTTTGCTTAAAGATAAAGCGTGACAGATTTTAACTACGCTGTCAAAAGAGGAATGGTAAAAACTGTTAAATTCATACGAACAAATCTTGAAGGATGCTTTTGCTATAATCGGTTAAAAGCTACATTCTTAAAGTTTATTCTATCAAAAAAACATAAAAAAATAAATTACTCAAGGGGATTTCTGAGCTAACAAATCCGGAACTGCTTAAATCACGATTCCTTTCAGAACGCAGCAGTTCACACTGAACACATTCTCGAATACCGTGTCGATCTTCCATTAGAATACCCTACGAAGTGAAACAGTAAGTCAACTACAAGTCAAAAGATCATTTCTGCAGAAGTCTGTTGCTGCACGCACCAAAGGAAAGAAAAAAAACCTACCGTTTCAGAAGCCGAAGAAAGAAAAAACAAAATCCATTCAACAAAGAAGTTAAAAAACTATTACAAAAATTTCAAAAAATATATTAAAAATTCTGCTGCTAAATTAAATAAAATTAAAAAACAATAGAATTGGATACCGAACAAGTATTACAATAGGCGTCTAACATCGTATACCCGCGCAATAGCAATTCTCCCATCTTCTTGGAAACATAGTCTCGTAAACGTTGCCTACTTTCTTCAGCGGCTTTCCTTTCCTCCTAAAAGGTTCAATATCGAATAGCAGTTTAAAAAATGCAGTGAATGGAAAAAATGACTTTGTAGAAAGAAAAGTAACTAGTTAACAGAACTGATAGAATCGTAACCTCGGTCGGCTTCCTAATACCGTTTGGTTCCACCATGTTTGTTTTGCTTCTATTAATTTTTACTGTAGCACTTTTTCGATGCGACAATTTTTTACCAAAAGAACGATGTCCCATTCAAAGCCAAAAGCCTAAAACAGTGTTTGTCGGTCATACGATCTATACCTGTAGTAGACGGTGTACTGTAAGTACAGTATATATCAAGCAGCGTGTAAACATCGATTCAAATCTTTTTGACCAAGTTTTAGAAACAGAATTAAATTGACTTATACTTCTTTGAATTGTTTGTTTTACAACAAAAATAACAGTATCATAAAGTAAAGTAGCAATATATTCAACTTTTTTAACCATTTCCAACTTATACCGCACATTTACAAGTGACCACTTCAAAAATATTCAGTTTTTTAGGCCCTACATGGAGGGAAAAGAAAAACCCTCGCCGCTTCCCATCATAAACAAATAAGTTAACCAGGATAAACTTTTTTACAATTGAACTGTTCACGATGAATTTCAAACGAAAAAAGTGAAGTTCATAAATCAGCTACACAACTGTTTCATACTTCCCTTTTTTTCTGACACTTTTTCATTGGGTTGTGCCTAATATAGTTAAAAATCAAATGTTTCTTTTTTTTTTCAAAGCTGTAAACAACTTGAAACGTTACATACAGTCAATAACCCAAAAAATTCCTAAAAATGTTTGACTATTTCTGGATGGCGAAAATCTTTTTGATGCAAACACTTAAATAAACAAATACACAAAAACACACGCATATATACATATACACAACACAATAGACACGTATACCACACTATACAACAGCATGGAAGTAATTGGCATAAATAAATTTTAGCATAAATTGAACGTAAGTGATGCAAGATGAACAGAAAAAATCGAACAAGGAAGCTGAACGATTTATGCTGCTAATATAAACAGAAAAAGGAAATTCAAACCTTATTCAGTAATTTAGAAAAAAAAAAAAAAGAAAAAATTAAAAATTGGCAATTTTCCAAAACTTTGTTACTGCGCTGCAATTTTTCGTTTCGTTGTACAGCACGGAATAAAATTTCAACAAAAATAACTTTTTCTGCTCTACCTCTCTGTAAAGCAGCGTATTATTGGAATATTATTTGATATCGTAGACATAAAGATACCTTAATTGTTTACGTAATTTACGTAACAGTAACCAATTCTTTGGTGTTCAATAGGTTTTCGAGATTAAATTGGAAAAAAATTACATGTCTGTGTGAGTACAAATATTAAGAACAAATTAAGTAACAACAAAATTTAATGTTTGAATGATGGCTGTAAAAACATGCGAAATATTCTGCTTGTCGTTTGTATTTTTGTCACCACATCTGCCACTTCACTTATTAGTCAATTTAACTGATAATGGCTCTGTAGTTGTTTAGGTATACAAATGGGTGAAGCTGTATCTGTCACATGTAAAGTATTGTTCTAGCTGCAAAAATAATATACTTC